TGACTGTATGTGTATAACCTACATCAAATTGCTTGCCTTCTCATGGGGGGGGGAGAGGGAAAGAGAATTTGGAGCTCAAAATTTTAAAAAATGTTAAAAATTGCTTTTACAAGTAATTGGAAAGATAAAATATTCAAAAGAAAAAAAAACATTGCTTGAATTTAGGAGGAGTGCTGTTGAAAGCCCAGGGAATGAAAGCATTATTGCAGTGGAGGATTGCATAGTACTAGTGTTAATTAGTGTAGTAGCATTATAGCAACAACAGACATTTGGTGCTTTAAGGTCAGCAAAGCGTTTTCTATCCATTATCTCACTAGGATTTCACATCTCTGCTGCCTTCCATTCCTGTGATATCCTTTATCTCCTCTTCCCCTAAAAAAACTTACTTGGTATTTGTTTCGGGATATTCATCCTATGTATTATGTATTTACTCACATGAGCACATGTTGTTCTTGCATGCCTCCCCCCATGTAAACTCTTTGAGGACAGGAGGTATTGTTTCTACCTTCATATTCCCCAGTGCTGAGGACTTTTTGATTGAATGTAATGCCCCTAAGCCATGCTTTTTATCTGTTCCTGAACTCATCCATTTCTTCCTTCTGTCTGGGCAATCCATGGACACAAGCAAAAGCATTTGTTGAAATAGCTGAGTTTTTAAAAAGCATGTGTCCATGACAATATCACTTTGGTTTCTCCTGGTGATCTTCACTCGAAGGCTCACAACCATTTTTCCCTTTTCTAGCTACTTGAGTTCTTTCCATAAGTACAGTATTGCTCCCCACCCGCTCCCACACATATACCCATTCTTATCTGTTCCTTTGGAAGGTATCTCCATCCACAGCCAAAGTTCAGTCCTGATTCTGACTTCATCAAGTCTAATTAATATCTGGGAGGTTCAATAGTCCTCCTTCTATCAAGAACTCTGATTCACTTGCTTGTGAACCTTAATGTGTGTATTCGTGAAAAGACTTCCAAGGCCTGGTGTGTTCTTTCTGGCTCCCCTTTTTACCTTTATTTCTTACAGATTAATGGGTGTCTCTGCCACCAATCTTTTTATGGTTTGGTATATAGTAAATGCTTAATAAATGCTTTATCTAATCTAATCTGTGCTATAGTTGCTACTCCCTCTGGCTTTTGATTTGGCAGATATGTGGAGGTGATTTTTGCCTTTACCATCCCTTTTTAAAGATTGCTAGATCAGATTTGCAAAACTTAAGGGAGATACATTTTTACAAGTCCTCACTATGGTATGTTTCCTCCGTCCTGCCTGGCCAAGAGCCTGTAATTCTTATATTTAAACTTTAGTCTAGAAATACAAAACCATCTTCTTAATCAGCGTTTCACTTTGCAAATCCCCACTTCACCTCCTCCTCTCTTCTTAAGTCTTTGCCTTTTTTGGCAGCAGAGATGAAAACACCACCTGTGCCCTGAGGGTATTTCGTTTCTGGCCCAGGGCCTCATAATCCCTAGTCAGGCTTTCTAAATTCCTCCTGCCAGTTTTAGTTCCAGAACCTGGAGCACTCCTTCCTTTTGCATGAAGTATCCCCCCAAAAACTACCCCCACCTTCAAGGTACTCTGTAGGTCCTCATCCCCGCAAAAAGCATAGTGCACAAGTCCCTTTCGAAGTATTTACTTTAACTAGTCAGCTAAAGGACACAAGCAATTCAAAGCTCTTAATGAAATAGTTGAATTTAAAAGCAGTAATAGAACAGTGCTCCTCCCCCATAACCCTGGGGCACCCTTTCCACAAAATACAGATACCATGAGTGGGAATAGTAGATATGCCCAGGGAACACGTCTGGAGGAGCATAAATATAGGGGAAACATGTGGCCAGAGGGCACAGGAGGAGGGGCTTGGGTTAGGGAGACAATCAGGAAGCTATAACAATGGTCCAGGTGAGAGTTTCATCATGGGGCCAGGCAGCAGAAATGGGAGAAGAGGGGGAAGTCCTGACCTCCTATAGCTAGGCAGATTTACTAGAACTGGCCCAAAGTGCATTAGGCCATCTCACCAGGCAATGGATTTCCCTTAATTAAAGGTCTTTAAATGAAAGTCTTGTTGGAAACATTACAGGGATAATTCTCAGCTTTGCCCGTGTCTAGATGGCCTCTGAGGTCCCTTCCAACTCTGAGATTCGGTAATAAAGCTAGACAGGTAGCTTTGAGTCAATTGGAGGGGGAAAGGCTTCAATACCAAGATCAGCCATCAATACTTAGTTGGTCAGTGATGGGGATGGATGGACATGCATCAGGGAGGTTATGGGGCAGTATGGATGGAGAAGGGATCCGGTAGGAACAAGAAGACCAGTTAGGAGGCTGGTGTAATGAATAGCCTAGCTAAGAAGAGATGAGGTCCCAAACAAGGCTGCTTCCTCTGGGGGTTAAGAGGAGGGGAACTGGATGTGAGAGCTATCATGAAGACAGAAGCAGAATGATGTGGTGACTTGGAAGTGTGGAAGGAGAAGAGAGAGCCAAAGGTCCAAAGTTAGAAATGGGATGGGGATGGCAGCAGTAAAAACAGCTAAGGTGGGCAGGGGGACAAAGATCTGTTCAGTTTGGGAACATGTTGAATTTGAAGTGCCAATGGGACATTGAGGGGGAGATGCCATCATGGAATCATAGCTCTAGAGTGGAAAGGGACCCCAGAGGCCACTGAGTCCAACTCCTTCAGGCCTGAGGACTAGAAAAGGTGAGTGACTTGCCCAAGGTCACACAAGTCATAAGCATCAGAAGTGGGACATGTTCTGGCCCTGAATCCCTGCATCACACTGTTGCCTTGTTGGAAGCTGCAGGTCCTTAAAAGACTAGCTCTCTGGCTAGGCTTCACATGCCCTCTGGTCTCTCATTTGTGACAGGGACAACATCAAACTTTATTATCCCCATTACCAGGATGGGAAAACCAACACATTGGGAATTGGGGTTGCATAGCTAGTTAAGGATAGGACCAGGACAAGAAGAGGAATACACAAAATAATTTTAGTATGACATAATGGAAAAAACACAGAACCTGACCGAGGAGGACCTTGGGTAAGTTGTCAGTGAATTTCCCCGGGGCCTCCCTTTTCTCCTCTGTGAATGGGGATGACAGCCCTTGGGCTTCCCTTTCCCCTCACAGAGCCACTCTAGCAATGTGAGTTTTTATCCCATTGAAGTCTGTCTTTCTGCATTGTATCCCTGTTGCCTGGATTGGGATGGGGCTCTCAAAGACGGTCAATGGGGGCATCAGAAGAGCAGGTCTGAGCACACAGTTAAGGGATGCTATTGAGCACGAGCCCTACGTTGGTGGCTGGTGTTTCTAGCCCTGCTAAAGCGCACAGTGGAAGTTCAGCACCAGGTGGGGCATTGGGTGCCTTCTTTATTTTTGCTGTAGTAACCGGCTAAGCCAGTCAGAGTAAAAGTGAAGGGGCTGCAACTCACCCCAGTGGAGGCCACCCCCACACTGATAAAACAGATCTTTCACAAATTTAATGATAACTGCAAGTCCCAGGTCCCAAGCATCAACAAAACGTATTTTCAAACTGCTCATGTAATCTCTGGAACTTCAACAATAAGCTTATTTTAAAGAACAAATTTAGTCAGGGGGCTCTGGGGAAAGACAGCCACCTTCTGGGAGAGCTGAGTGACATTGTACAGGGTAACCTGATGAGGCCCCATTTTCTTTGGGCGATGTCACTTTTTATACCCAGTACAACAGCAAGAGGCCTGTAATACTTCCCTCTAAATGTACAAGAAAACAAAAGCTGGGTGGGAATTACTCTATGGAGATAGATCCCCCATAGGGAATATATCGAATATCCAATGAGATTAGATAAGCACATCAAACTTCTGTACCTGCATTAGGGTGGTAACCATCCCCCTTCACCAACCCTACTCCCCCAGATGGGATCCCTCTCTGCTTTATGTTCTCCTTCCTCCATTCTGACTACTGACCTCCCTTGCTTCCTTTATGCCCCAACTAAAATCCCACCTCCTACTGGAAGCCTTCCCCCAACCCCTCTTAACTCCCTCTTAATTGTTCCCTATTTATCCTGTATATAGCTTACTTTGTGTGTATATATGTATGTATGTGTGTGTGTATATATATACATACACATATATATATATATATACACACATATATATACACATATATAATGTATATACACACACATATATATACACATATATAATGTATATACACACACATATATATACATATATATACACATATATGTGTGTGTGTGTGTGTGTGTGTGTGTATATATATATATTCACATGTTGTTTCCTTCCCCCATTTAGATTGTAAGTTCCTTGAGGGCAGGGACTGTCTTTTGCCTCTTTTTGTATCCCTAGCACTTAGCATAGTGCCTGGCACATAGTAGGTGCTTAATAAATGTTTATTGAATTGAATTGATGGTTGCCTTGAGTTTCAGGGGCTGACAAATTCATCCCCCCTCAGCTCCATGCTCTGGACCAGCTGAGCTCTTTGGAGACTCTATGTACTCATATAACACCCCTCTCAAGGGCTTGGCTGGTCACAAAAAGCCCTGGGATTTGTAGTTCCTTCCAATTTGGGAAGACAGCAAACTAAAGCAACATCAGCCCTTGAATGGGAGGACAGAAATTATCAGGTAAGTCACAGAGAGAAGGAGGAGAGGAGAAGAGAGAGGTGCTATTGTCCTTTGGTAGCCAGCTGGTGATGGTCACATCTTCAGTTCCTTTCTTTAAGACCAAGAGAGGGGGCCGCTAGGTGGCGCGGTGGATAGAGCACTGGCCCTGAAGTCAGGAGGACCTGAGTTCAAATCCAGCCTCAGACCAAACACTTGACAATTACTAGCTGTGTGACCCTGGGCAAGTCACTTAACCCCAATTGCCTAAAAAATTAAAAAAAAAAAGACCGAGAGAGGTAACTTCTAAACGGATAAGTTGGCAGCAGCACCAAGAGAAACAAACTGGTTACAAGGAACTGGCAGGCCCACTCCTGCCGTACTTACCCTTAATTGTGTTTAAAAAAATCCTTTGAAAGAATACATTTGCTGGATTTAATATTATTTCACATAAACACCTGTGGGTGACACTGCCCTTACGTCAGGGACTATCTGTGGCATGAGGGATCACAAAGAAGAGAGTGACTTTTCTTAGGGCAGACCTGGGAGCTCAACTGCCAGGCCGTCATTAGAACATGAGCCATTTCATAACTTTCTTTCAAGTGCAGAGGAACGGTGAATGGTGGGCTATATTTTGTAATTCTGCCTCAGGGACAGGAATCAATGTTATACAAAATTCAAACAAGTAGCTATAAAGATTCCTCTTATGAAAATTGAGCAGAAAAATATCAAATTACAAGATGGTACTGATAGTTAAATATAGTTTATTCACAAATGAGCCTGTCCCTATACCTCGTATGATCTTGTTTTAGACTTATAGCCCAGAGTATGGAGGCTCCGTCTCATTATTTTCACAAGGTGCATTTTGAGCCACAGACTAAATGAGTTCTCACTTGGTCAGGACCTACTTAGGCTCAGAAGTGAGAACAATCATTTATGTTTTGCTTGATTTTGGTAGACTGTGCCAGGAGGAGCCTCGGAAGGCATCAGCCCCTGGTTGTGACGGAGGCAGGATGCCAGAAGTGGCTTCTGAGGCATCAGCCCCTGGATGTGGTGGAAGTGGAATGCTAGAAGGAGCTTCCAAGGCATCAGCCGCTGGTAGTGGTGGAAGTGGAATGCCAGGAGGGGCTTCCAAGGCATCAGCCGCTGGTAGTGGTGGAAGTGGAATGCCAGAAGGGGCTTCTGAGGCATCAGCCGCTGGTAGTGGTGGAAGTGGAATGCCAGAAGGGGCTTCTGAGGCATCAGCCCCTGGTTGTGGTGGAAGTGGAATGCCAGGAGGGGCTTCCAAGGCATCAGCCGCTGGTAGTGGTGGAAGTGGAATGCCAGAAGGGGCTTCTGAGGCATCAGGCCCTGGTAGTGGTGGAGGTGGCGAGATGCCAGAAGGGGCTCCTGAGGCATCAGGCCCTGGTTGTGGTGGAGGCAGGGTGCCAGAAGGGGCTCCTGAGGCATCAGGCCCTGGTAGTGGTGGAGGTGGTGGATGCCAGAAGTGGCTCCTGAGGCATCAGCCCCTGGTAGCAGCGGAGGTGGCAAGATGCCAGAAGTGGCTCCTGAGGCATCAGCCCCTGGTAGCAGCGGAGGTGGCGAGATGCCAGAAGGGGCTCCTGAGGCATCAGGCCCTGGTTGTGGTGGAGGAAGCAGGATGTCAAAAGAAGCTTCAAGGGGGTCAGAGAGTGATTGAGGCATCTGCATTTTTTGTTGATTTGTCTTTTCCAAGCCCAGATATTTTTGATCCTCACAGACTATCCTATCACAAGGGAATTTTTGGAAGTTTGGAGAATCATCCATGGTCTCTAGATACACCTGCACTCTGGACATAATGTCACTCATAGAGGAGGAGCAAAGGGAGCCCTCTTCATCAGAAAACCATTCCCTACAAGCTTCCAAGCTTTGGCTACGAAAAGAGCACAATGACAATGATGACAAGGACCTCTGGTCCAGGTTTGTGCTCTCCACATTGGAGCTGGTGTCCGAGACGTCGGAAGTTACAGATGTCATCACAAGTTCCAATTTCCTTTGCTTATGCTTTTGAAGAGCTATAAAAATGACATTGAAGGTTAGGTATCAATAGCCCACACTCAAGAACCAAGCTCTAATTAATTATACCAGCAAGGGATTTGGGGAATCTTCCCAGGGGTAGTTATTACTAAAGTCCCAGCAGGGTCTCACCTCACCATCCATCCTGCCTTAAATACTCCTATTCCACCTAGGAAAATAGGGGTTTCTCTAGGCTTTTATGTACATTGGAGAAGAAGGTCCTTTTTAAACAAAATTATACCACCTTGACTCAGCATCAAAAAATTACAATCAAGCTAGTTATGTCTGGGATGGAAACTTCTCCTCACTCTACTCCCTACCCTCACCCCAAACACACAGTAATCCCATAGCACCCAGTGTCCCCCCCCCATTATCAAGTCAATATACATTTATTAAGCAGCTCTGGATTGTCTAATCAATAGCTAAAAGGTTGCTTAGTGAAAAAAATAACGCTTTCCAAACAAAGAGTTCAAAATGTACTGCTAATATGTAGTTAAATTTCATAAAAACTGGGTCAAGGTGAGGGAGTGGAGCCTGAGGCCGGCTCAGTTGACCTCATTGCCAAGGATGATGCTCTTCCACTGGTCACCTTTGACAGGGGCCAGGGTTTGGAAAGGCAGCTCAGTTGGTACAATTGGATACAAAACTCCAGGCTGGCTTTGTCCATGGCCTGTTACACACTTTCTCAATTACGGTTCCTACCAGACATGAACACGCACCACAACTCTGGATTGACGGAGGCACTGGTGGAGACCCCCTTTCACCAAAGTCAGGGCCCGAAGAGGAGACATGGGTGCCACCATGATACTACTTCTGCCCTCCACACAGCTCTCTCCCTGAACTCTCCATCCTCTCACCCTGTTCTGTCTCACCACCACATCAACCAATCAATAATAAGCATTGATTTCTCACTGGACACCAGGCATCATTCCAGGCTGGTTTGATCTTAGGTACACCAGCCCCATTCCCAGCAAATGGTTCCTTCTAATATGCAGATATAGGAGCTAATGCTATCAACCACCACTAGGTTCAGCTGTTTCTCAAAGCCCTGGAGGTATAGGGGCATCTGAAAAGAATCTCCTGGTACCCGTTGGACGGCACTTGCCTTCACCCTCTTTTGCCTCTACCCCCTAAAGTGTTCTGTTCTCCCTGTTATACTCTCTTATTCCAATGACTAACATTTATTATGCATCTACCGTAAGCAACACACTGTGTTAGGCACTGAGGAATACCGTGATGGGGCAAGACATACCCTTTGCCTTCACAGCATTTACAATCCCATCCAAGTCATAAGACTTGGCCATCTATATAATACAAGTTAGACTATGTTTCAAGTTCATGGGAGTTTCTTTTAAAAGTACCTCCTTGAAGTTCTGATTCTTCATCTGTTGAGACCTGCTGTGAAACAGAAGGTTATTGTTACTTGCCAAGCTGGAAAAAAACAAAAAACACTCTTTTAACTTGACGTACATAGTTTATTTAGTTACGATGTCTTCATTTCTGTATGTGAGGGTGAGACCATAGTGATTATACTGCCCTACTTACAAGTAATGACTTTTTGGTTGATAACAAGATGTCAACAAGCACTTATTAAGAGACTGCAATGTACCTGGAACCATACTAAGACCCTGCTCTCAAGGAGGCCACGTGCTCACAGGGGAGACATCACACAAATAACCAAGTAGGATAAGCTGAAGATGGCCAACTTCAAGGAGGTGGGACTTTAGCTGAGCCCTGAAGGAAGCTGGGGAAGCCAGGAGGCAGAGAGACAAGGGGAGCAGTTCCCAGCTTAGGAGTGTGCATATAACCACATCAGACCAATGTTGGAAAAGATGATGTCAGTCATCACACAAGACTTTTTAAACAGGATGACATACTTGCACACGTAAGGATTTTCAACCCTAAATCACACATATGCAGCTCCTTGTAACCAATCACACAACTCAGGGGTCTGGAGAGCAACCTGAGAATTCCCCATTTTTTTTTCAGGTCATGGGCACTGCCCCCCTTCCCCCCGCATATTCACCTAGTTTTACTGCCTAGAACTCGGTGGTGATGCTGCAGTGAGATCTTAGGACACAAATCAAATAGTAACGCAGGAGGGGATGTCCCGAGGTCATAGCCTTCTCACTGGAAGGGAACTTAAAGGCTGTGGTTGGCTCAACCCTTTATTTCACAGATGTGGAAACTGAGGCCCAAAGAGATGGAGAGACCTGCCCAGGGTCATAGAGCTAGTTAAGTGTCTAGGGGTGGATTTGAACCCAGGTCTTTCTGACTCAAAATCCAGCGCTCTGACCAAAGTCTGGCATCTCCAAAGGGAGCTGAGGGAGTGTCCTATGGCTCAGTCTTCTTGGCTGTTGTCACCTGGACGTCTCCTGGTTTGTCGGTGTCTCTCTGAGAAGGGATCAGCCCGAGCTGAGAGAAGAAAGGGCCTGGGACTTGCAAGGAATCACGGGCGTCTTCTGCAGCCTGAATGCCTCAGTGACTCCTGGGGGCCCAGGCTCCGAGCCTCAGTCCAGCCAGCGTCCCTATAACGCCTCACTCTCTACAAACCCCTACTTTGTCATCAGGGGACGGGTTTAAAGGAGAAAGAATCAGGTTCCTAAGGGGCCAGGGATCCAAGCACAGTAGAAATCTAAGTCAATTAGACATTTATCAAGCACCTACTCTGTACTGGGCATAAAGAGCTTACATAATAATGTCGCTCAGAAAGTCTCCTAAGCACCCAGGTGAAGTTCAGGGGGGCGGGGAGGGGCGAGGGGCGACTGAAGTGCTAGGGCTGAGACACAAGGCAATTTAGAAAAGAGAAACAGATCCTCAGGGCTCTGGATGATCTTAACTTTGGGGGCAATATAGCCCAGAGCTAAAAATATGAGAATGATAGGTCCTATGGGATCATGCGTCACAATAATAAGGGAATAAATAAGGGGAGGGGGCAATTATTTTGCATGAACATTATGATAAAGCAATTTCCATAGCTGTTTGATGATGTGAAACCCTTGGGCCTTACCTGTAATCCATGAGAATGAAAACATTGAGACAAAGAAACTCCATGGACACGTGGATCCACTGTGGTACTAGATAATCTCTCCTGGCGTTTTCTATCAGTTACTGTAACTTTAGAAGCCTGAAGTAGTTGCCTGAAAGATGTTTTAGAGAGGATGTCACTATATATGCAATAGATTACCAACTAACTGATTTTTAAAAAACAATTGTATTTTCTAATACTTACACTGTACCCAAGGGCTCAAGTGAGTCTATAGCTGAAATGTATCCATTTGGAGCTTCTCTTGGTATGCGGTGTGAGATGTTGGTCTATATCCAGTTTCTGCCAGACTCCTTTCCAGTATTCCCACCAGTTTCTGTCTAATAGTTCTTGCCCCACTAACTAAGAACTTTGGGTTTATCAAACAATAGCTTGCCGGGTTCATTTGTTTCTGTAATATTGTGTACCTAATCTATTCCACCGAGCAACCTCTCTATTTCTTACCAAGTACCAAATTATTTTGATGACTATGGCTTTGTAGAGTAGGTTGAGATCAGATACTTTAAAAAAAATTTATTCCCTTGATATTCTTAACCTTTCGTGCCTGCAGATGAATCCTGTTTTTATTTTTTTCAGCTCTAAGAAGCAGTCCTTTGTTCATTTGATTGCTACAGCACTAATAAGTAAATTAACTTAGTATTGTCACTTTTATTATATTGGCTCAGCCTATCCATGACCAATTAAACAGTTATTAATTAAACTTTAAGCAATTAATTATTTCTCTAATTATTTAGATCTGTCTTCAGCCTTTTTCAAGGCCTCGATCATGAAATATATACACACATAGCCATTTGAAACCCATGCACTGAATTTGGGGTAATAAAACATGCAGACAGAAGCTTCCACCATACCTCTGTTTGTAAAATATGATTCCAACCACTATCGACAGAATAATGAAGGCCGCAGCAATAATACTGATCCCGGCCCAGAGACGGGACGAAAGGCGGCTCAGAAAATCTAGACAGACAAAAAGTCAGAAAAGATTATTTTTATGCATGTATTGGCATGCACTCAGGTGAATTAGAATGGCTAAATGAGGTGAAGCTTGAAGTCCAGCCCATCTGAATAGCAATATTTATTGCACCTCTCTCTCTCTCTCTCTCTCTCTCTCTCTCTCTCTCTCTCTCTCTCTCTCTCTCTCTCTCTTTCTTTTTGTAGTGGCAAAGAATTAGAGACTAAAGAAGTGCCCATCAATTGGAAGATGGCTGAACAAATCACAGCATACAAGTAGAATGGATCACTACTGTGCCTTAAGAAATTTCGACAGCGGCGGTGAGTCAAATAGGCATTTACTATTACTGCTGTTGAGCTGCATCTGATTCTTCACGACCACATTTGGGGTTTTCTTGGCAAAGATACTGGAGTGCTTTGCCATTTTCTGTTCCAGCTCATTTTACAGATGACAAACAGGGTTAGATGACTTGCCCAGAATCACCCAGCTATTAAGTGTCTCAGGCTGAATTTGAACTTACTTAGGTCTTCCTGACTCTAGGCTCTATCCACTGCACCACCTAGCTGCCCAAGCATTTATTAAGCACCTGCTATGTACCAAGCACTGTGCTAAGACTGGGGACAGAAAGAAAGGCAAAAGATAGACCCTGCTCTTGAGGAGCTCATAGTCGAACGTACATGCAGACAGCTATGCACAAACACAATATAACAGCATGAATTGGAGATAATCGATTTTAAAGTTGAATTTATTGTATACGAAAGGAGAAAAACTGTATATAATAGATACCTGCCACCTCACGTACAAACCTTTCTTCTCTTCTATTATGTATATGGCAATGCCCATTTTCTTTGGTGTTTGCGTTCAAAATAAAAAAAAAAGAAACTTCAATCTAGCAGCCTTGCAGGTTCCCCACCCCTGGCTAAGCCAAGTACATAACAAAATATGTTTATGCGCAAATGTTAGATTTTTATGTTGAATGAATTACGATGCATTTATTAAGTGCTTACTGTGACTCCACACTCCTTTTCCACTTTGTGCTTCCTTTCCTGAGTAAGTCACTGAGCATCAGAAAAGGGACCTTTTCTGTCCAAGACTAGGGGAGGGCCCTGTGAATGTAAGAGGTCAGGAGGTCCGCTAAGTGAAGCTGACTGGGAGCCAAAGGGTTTCTTCATCAGAGAACAGATGGCCACTATCAAGAAGAGAATGTGCGTGTTTAGTCCTGCGGGGTTTGTGTTTGCTTGCTCAGATTGTATGCTGACTCTAACTTTCTGGTCTAGAGCCGTTCTATGTCTGCAGGTGGTGAGACGTGGGGGTGTCCTGGGTGGGGGGTGGGGGCGGGGTGCACGGGACTTCCCAGGGAGAGGAGCTGCTAGGGAGATGTCTTATTATATATTGTGTTCTCTGGTTATCGTGTTTTTTTCAAGCCCTTCACAACCTGGCCATGACTTTCCTTTTCTGCCTCATTAGATACTGCTCACCTTCTGTACTCTGAGATCAAAGCCGAAATGGCCCTCTCTTTTCCTTATAGGGGACACTGCCGTTTCCCAGTTCCATGCATTTGCACTGCCTGTTCCTTCTGCCTAGCATGTCCTCCCTCTTCATCTCCTCCTTATACTTCTTTTGAGACACGGCTCAAACCCTTCTTTCTACATAAAGCCTTTCTTTTTTTCCTATTAAACATATTTTCACATTAGTGATGTCGGAAGGAAGAATTAGAACCAAGAGGAGGAACCGCCAGAAAAAGGAAACAAAACACAACAGAAGAAAAAAAAATAACAAACAGTATGCTTCCATCTGCATTCAACTTCCATAGTTCTTTCTTTGGATGTGGACAGCATTTTCCAACATGAGGCCTCTGGAGATGTCTTAGATCCGTGTATTGCTGAGAAGGGTTAAGTCTCTCAATACTAGTCATCGCACAGTGTGGCTGTTATCGTGTACAAAGTCCTCTTGGTTCTGCTCACTTCACTCAGCATCAGTCCATACAAGTCTTTCCAGGTTTTTCTGAAGTCTGCCTGCTCATCATTTCTTATAGCACAATAGTATTCCATTACATTCATATACCACAACTTGCTCAGCCATTCCTCAATTAATGGGCAACCCCTCAATTTCCAGTTCTTTGCCACCACAAAAAGAGCTGCTATGAATATTTTTGTACATGTGGGTCCTTTTCCCATTTGTTTGATCTCTTTGGGATATAGCCCTAGAAGGGCTATTGCTGGGTCAAAGGGTATGCACATTTTTATAGTCCTTTGGGCATAGTTCCAAACTGCTCTCCAGAATGGTTGGATCATTGCATGAAGCCTTTCTTGAGGCCCCCAGCTGCTAGTTTCTCTCCCTCTCCCTACTTATTTTATAATTACTTTCTATTTATTCTTTTTATGCTTATATAAGCACTTGTCTCTTCTGTAAGACTACAAGCTCTCTGAAAGTACGGATTGCTCAGTGCATTGTATTTGTATTTTTAGCACCTAGCACAGTGCCTGGTCCATAGTAGGCCTTCAATAAATACTTGATTACTGGATTGATATACTAGTGATGTTTCTGTTATTGGTTCTAGGTACTCCTGTCGCCTTTTGCATAGAATCAGTGCCACGACACTAAAATCATGTGCCTAGTACTTACTGAAATATAGCCACTTCAAAAGGAGGTAGGGTTAGCTAATGTGTGGGGGCTCAGAGCTAATTTGAAATGGGTAGATCATTCCCTTTGAAAATGAGTGCCTCTACACATATATAACCTATATTGCACTGCTTGCCTTCTCAATGAGGGGGGTGAGGAGGGAGGAAGAGAGAAAATTTGGAACTCAAAGTTTTAAAAATGAATGATAAAAATTGTTTTTTACATGTAATTGGGGAAAAATAAAATACTAAGAATTCAAAAAATAAAAATAGAAAAACAGAAAGAAAGAAAGAAAGAAAGAAAGAAAGAAAGAAAGAAAGACAGAAAGACAGACAGAAAGAAAGAAAGAAAGAAAGAAAGAAAGAAAGAAAGAAAGAAAGAAGGAAAGAAAGAAAGAAGGAAAGAAAGAAAGAAGGAAAGAAAGAAAGAAGGAAAGAAAGAAAGAAGACAAGTCCCTGACATCTTATATAGAGAGGCAGAGGTAAGAGACAAGTCATAGCTAGCTTTTGGTCACCACAGAGAATTAGAGATTATACAGCACTTTTACTCATCTGACTATGCAGAAACCACCAGGGTGACTGTGGGCTCCCCTGTAAATAGCTATCAATGCCACCTGGTGGTTAAACTGTGAAAGTGCCTCAATTACCAGGGTCTCAGTGAGATGATAATACAGCAACAGACTCCTATGTGATTAACTCATATATTCTGAGCTAGAGGTGCTAAAGAGTGAAGAGACATACCAAGCTGGATTTCTGGGGTGCATATATCAGCCCTTCAATGTGTCTATGATCTCATCAATATTGGGACTTCCTCCAACACTGCAGATCACAGCCCATCCATACTTTCTCATCCTGTGCAACTCCTGTTCATGTGCCCCTGTAAATCCACATGGGCTGTCCATCTCCTGTCCCTTGCTCCTGTTACATGCCTGGGCCAACTCCATTGCCTGGCATATTTGTCTTTGAGGATATACACTGTATACTGCTTTTTTGCATGTAATTAATTGTGCAGGTTTGATTTTTTGGAGTTTGTGGAATTCCATGACTGACAGGTATATGGCATCCATAAATGAACACTAATGTGGAGATGTGTTTGAGTTTCAGGGAAAAGCTTGGGATACCTACAGTAGTGTATTTCCCAGATACAATCCAACTGATTTTCTTGTTCCTGTTTGGTTCTGGGCCCAGCTAACTTCCCAAGGACGATGTCAGCTTGCTGGGCAAGTCGCTTAACCCTGTTTTCCTCAGTTTCTTGATCTGTAAAATGAGCTGGAGAAGAAAATGGCTCCACTCCAGTATCTTTGCCAAGGAAACCCTAAGTAGGGTCACAAAGAGTCAGATACAACTGAAAAATGACTAAACAGTTTAGTTCTGGGCCTAGCTAATTTCCCATGAACAATGTCAGCTCAGAGGGGCTGTCCTTACAATTGAATATGCAGGCCTAGACAATAGGCATTGTTCATTCACTTGGATTTCCATTTATGGAGAGTTAGGCCAGATTCTTTGGATCGATTATGGTGTGTGTGTTGGGGGGGCAGTCCTTGGGGCATGAACAATATTCACTTTCTGCTGTGTATCCACCTAGAGGCTTCTGAGCCCCCTTTTAGAAATGCTTGATGAGGAGTAATGGAGGGTTCCTGAACCCTAACTCCAAATCTGCACAGATATTTAAGGATTATTCCTGCTGGCTTACTGTGGGGTGATGGAAAGCCTTTTGGCTATTGAACTGGAACTAAGTACATATGAAAGGCGTGGACGGACAAAAGCTTTCTCTCTTTTCTCCTCAGACCTTCGCATGGTGCCTGGTGCATACCAAGTCCTTAATAAATGTTTGTTGACTTGTTAACCCTCTAAACTGATGACTTTTGGGTGAGGAGGAAGGGATGATATAATTCTATGGGTAGAGGAAAGAAGTAACAGGCACTACCAGCTGCCTTATCTCCCCATCCGGGGTCCTACGACATGATCCTAGGGAGCTGAAATAACTAGCAGAGATGATTATGTAACCACTGTCAGTAATGCTTGAGAAATCATGGAGAATGGCCAGAAGCTGAATTTCAAAAATGGAGAAAGGCAGATTTTTGCAGCCTGGTCCATTGAGTGTGTTCCAGCAGCTCTTCCAGGGCCTGGTAGAGAAGCATGGCCCTAGGTGGAGTGTTTGCAAAAGGCGCTCACTGGAGCAAACCACTGAGTCAGCCACCCTTGTGGCTGCCCCACCCTCTGCATGTACAGCCCACCGCTGCCTTTCCTGGTTCCCTTGGATTGGTCAAGCAAGTCAAGTGCCTGTCAGCCTGCAAGTGCCTATGCTGCCTGTTCTTGACTGACTTCCTTGGCAAATGTCACCCATTAAGACTAATCAAACCCAACCAGGAGCCCCTGCTCCC